CTATTGTACCTGTTAAACTCACTGCTTGCGCCGATCACAAATAATGCTAATTAGATTATGCACTGAGAACAGAATAAAGACCTAATCCTTAGCCGTTTGTTGTTCCTATCAACGGCAAGGTTTATTCCGATTCACTTTAGAAGCAGTTTCGAATATACCTGAAATTCAAGAGACGACACCTTTTGTTGTCCTGCCAAAAGCGAATGGAAAGAAAAGAACAGAGAGATCGTTTTGTCTATTGTCCATTAATTTTCAAATAAATTATTTTTAATTATCAACATTCATTACCTGCGTATAAACCGGCCTTCGGATCGTTATCATTCCGTGGTGAATATCCAAGTCAGTAGCAAAATCTGTTAATAAAATTCAATCAGTTATAAAAGAGCGAACATCCATTTTCAGAGGCTACGTACGTTTTCAAAAAAATCAATCAATTTAAACTGCTTCTAATAAGGACATCCCGGAACAAAGGAGCCAGCATTCGATGTTCACTGCGCTGATCAGATGTTTGAAGATTTCTGCAAATGTACGTTCGGGCTGAAATGGGGAACATAAGCTTTGAAACTTATATAATATGACAATTGTTAGATAAAAGTGCTATGACATAAAGATAACATACGGTATAAATATCAAAATTCATCTGCCAACAGATCAACAAGTTCATATTTACTCAAGCAAGCGTCACTGATCCAACCATTACGATCAACATTTCGTTGAATAACACTATTTTTAGCATACAAAAATGAATAATGCCACAACAAGAAATGACATTAACACTGAATAATAAAAAACAAATGCAATCGCCATTTCAAAAAGTCAACGTAAGATACACGGAAGCTACAAAAAGACTCACAAAACAGCAGAATCAACGTATGCTGATTAACGTATTAAGAAAACACAACAATGTTGTTCTAATCATAAGAAAACAGCCCGTTTTACCATCAATGAGAATCACACGGAGGATGGTAAAACTGAATAACAGATCTTCGAAAGAGCTCTATTATGCAGATATAGTGGGACAAGCATTTTAAGCGATGTAACGTAAGGACGTGAAGCGTCTTTATCCATATTATTGATTATATAGGAAAGGAAGTTATTTACGTACCAGAAAGGCAGAGCTTATAACCACGTGGAAAAAGCTAGCGCGTAGCCTCTTGCATCCTCTCTGCAGAGAGTACTCATTTATCAACCTTCGAAGCAAGAAAGGCGAGTGATCCTAACCGGAACTTGAACTAAGGACTGGTTCTGAGTTCTGTATTCCACTGACCGAACAATCCCGGTCTGAAGCAATGTGTGGTAAATTCACTGTTCAAAGAAATTCCTCAATAAGACAAAGATTGCCATCGAGCGAAATCGAACCCGCCACCTCAGGAATTCACAACAGATCTCTTAGGCAACTATACCAACATCATGCATACAAACACGCTATGTTGAGTCCATACGCGATCTGCAGTTTAACGTGGCGATTCAACCGTTCAT